TCCTTCCTTCCTTCCTTCCTTCCTTCCTTCCTTCCTTCCTTCCTATTAGCAGTAAGGATTCTCTCTTCTTGGATATTCTTTAGCAGGGCACAGACAACTCTGATTAGATGTCCAGAGAGACAAGATTACACATATTTCATATATTTGACTTATTCTCCTAAATACAGAGTTGTTGTTGTTGTTGTTTTCAGTCCTACGGTATCTGGATATTTTTGTGTGTTTCTGAAAACCAAAATCTAGTAGTTCCTTTGCCCTTATTATTTTACACGGAAACTTGGGAATTTATGTACATTGTGGCAAAAGGATTGAGAAACAGGGACAGGGACAATTTCAGTGGCCAAAATTTAGGCCATAAATGCTCAGCACAACATTTCATTTTGTTTTATCTTTACTGGCTTTTCACTTCCTGTTCCATCATTTTACAGGGCATCATTTGGTAAAGTAATAAATAAATGATAAATGAAACCCTGAATCTTAGAAACGGAATAAATTGAAGGAAGGTCTTTAATTGAAAAGGGACCACCCGTTATGGCCCTGTGTGCATTTATTCCTTCCCTTCCTTTCTTGTTTCCATTCCTTCTTTTCTCTCTCTCTCTTGAAGTACAAAGAGCAAAATGAATGCAGGTCTGTGCTGATTGCTACAGATTATGTCTCTTTCTTTCCCGTAGGTGGGCTAAGAATAATTATTCCAGCCAAGGTGGAAAGCCCATTTGGGTCGATCCTCAGGACTCCGGAGTCCAGCATATCTGTATAGATGATAATATCCGACTGACTGATTCCGACACCATTGTGCATCCTCAGGTATTGTTAGGGAGAAGCATTGCTCCAATCTCCCCCCGCTTTTTTTTTTGAATGGAAGATTCTTTTGTGGGTCATTCACAGCTCTTAATTATAATTATAATTGTGCAGTTCCCTTTTGTCAATCCTGGGAAATAAGCTACGCTTTCAGAGACAATACGCAGGAGACTTTGTGCACTAAGTGGAGACTCACTATTGTGATTCCTCCACTTTATTCTGTCCTTAAGCAGAAAAGCCCATGGCCTGAAGTACCTCTGCCTCGCTGGCAAGGATTGCCTCTTTCTCCTTCTAACCTGTCCCAAAGGTGGCGGAGATTGGTAAGTGAGCGGCCTGTCATATCTGCAGGTGATTAGCAGAGGACAGCGGCTAGCGTGGAAGAGCAGATGCTTGGTGCCTATTCATGCGCCATGCTCCTTCTGTCCTCGGTGTGAGTCATTCCCCTTTCTCCCCCACCCTCAATCACCTCCCCAAGCCCAGCAACCTGCTTCTTAGCAGCCCAAGTGCATTCCTGAGTGCTTAAAGGGCAGCTTTCATGCCAAAGCTGGGAAGTGGGGAGAGCCGAAGAGAAAGGCCATCGAAGCAGCTCTTCATATCGGCCTAAAAGCTTTTCCTTAGGAAAGGAGGCAGCAGGGAGAGAGACTGTGTGCTGCCTGAATTAGGGGATGGATGAAAAGCTGGGCAGGCAAGGTTAATTGGTTCTTGTTGGATTCAAGCCACCACATTGGTTCCTTGAGGCTTGGTGTCACTCACAATATAAGGGAAAATTACTAGTGGAGGCTGGGACTGTTTCATTGCTTGACAATAGACATCCAAGCCAGTGGTGCAATTCAGCCGCTTCTACCCAGTTTGGGCAAACCTGTAGCGGTGGTGGCAGGAGATTCCGCCCATCCACCTGGAGGTCATCATGTCTTGTTTTTGATGCACTGTGCATGCACGAAAGGTCCTGCGCATGCGCGGAGGTGGCAGCTGCGCTCATATTTGCGAACCGATAGTGAAGGTAAGTTGATTTCACCCCTTAGTCAAGCTGATCAGTAAATACAGGTAGACCTTAACAACAGTTTGTTTAGTGACCATTCAGAGTTACAACAGCACTGAAAAAAGTGACATGCTCATTTTTCACAGTTATGATCTTCACAGCATCCCCATGGTCATGTGATTTACATTCGAATGCTTGACAACTAGTTCATATTTATGACGGTTGCAGTGTCCTGGGGTCCTTTGCGACTTTCTGACAAGCCAGGTCAACAGGGAAGCCAGATCCCCTTAACAACCGTGTTATCATTCAATGCCTGCAGTGTGTTCTGACCGAGGCTTCCCAAGAGCATGAAGCAAACTCCTTGTCCCAACAAAAACTTCTTTTATTAATTTACTGGGAATTCTGCTCGTTCGCACCCAGCAAAGTCTTTCGAGGGAGGATTTACAGTCTCAGACCTTATCTGGCTTGGAGAGCTGACAGGCCAGATATCTGCAAAACTTGGCAAGGAGTCTCAGAGAGTCTGGAACCAATTAAGCAAACTAATTGTCTCCTGCAAACTCCACTCTCTCTTCAGTCCTCTTTTATTTCCTATGGGAGGGGCCATTCATGGCCTTACTCCCAAGTCGACCCCTGTTCTTTAGCTATTTCCTTCATCTGGCAACTCTGTGTATGTGCACACTGG